TAGCTAAGATTCCCTGCAAGTACCAGACTGTTGTATTTATCTGATAGCTTGTTTTGCCTAGAAATGTTAAAAAGCTTGGAATCTTTCTGGAGTTTTTTTGGTCCAGATAGAAGTGTCTACTTTATGAATTCACACTTGTGACACAGATTGATTTTGTCAGATATTGATGAGTTGTGTTTATCTAAGTTTAAGCCTGTGCTGCAGAAAAACACACAGCTGCAGTTAAAAATCTCTGCTGTAATCAGCTTAAAGGACTCTATGGATATGATTCAAGTTAGGGCTGGCACTCAGATTCAATGCTGTGGGTGACCTCATTTTATTTTTCATTCCCATTAGTTGCTTGGACAATGTCCTTACTGTCACTTACATACATATTGTGCCTAGTAAAAAGCTTGCAGAGGTTTTGGAATGGGCTAGGTGAGAGTTTAGGGCTCTATTTGACCTGCAGCTTGGAGCTTGCTTGCTCTTTATTCATGATGAAGAGAAGATGCATTGTACATTTTCTGTGTGAGTAAGTGTATGAAAAGAAGTGAAATTGTTGTATATTTTAATATTATGAGTGGGTACATCTTAGGTTCTATACTACTTTGAGTTTTAGTGAGGAGAATCTGCTCAAACTCCAGCTTTTAGGGAAGGGATGAGTTAAAACTGATGTGATAGAATAACATGTCCATTTGAGTAAAGCTGCTTTAATAAATTACCAATGCTTTTGTGTTTTACAGGATTCTTCAACAGCACAGAGACCTCCGAAGACTTTTTAGTAACTGTGCATCCGAAGGAAATAAGGACTTTCTTTGTATACTTTCAGGTTCAGTAATGTTTCATGATGTATTTCAGGTGAATAGGTAACATCTTTGAAATTTTGTTTCAAGATACAAGTGATGATCTTGAAAAACATCCTACTGCTGTTAATGAAAGAAAAATTAATTTTGGAATAAACTTTGAATTTAATTGAATTATTAGCCTCAGCTGTGTTTTTGTTGGTTATTATTTACAACTTTTCTTTTCTGAAACTTGTTCAATGCAAAAAAGACCTGTGTTGCAAAGTGAGCATATTGAACATTGTTTTGCTAGCTATTGATGGTTTTGAAGTGATTGCTTCTATGATGCTTCACTGTGGAGCACTAACAAAATCATATTAGTCCTACAGTCTTGAATTGTCTTTCTAATTAATAGTGCTGCCAAGAGTCTTCTCATAAGGTTTTTATTGTTAGAGAAGATGAGTTCCAAATCACAGAATAGTGATTGATCAAGTGGTGGTTCCTACATGCAAGGAGAAATGCCTGCTGTGTTTCAGCTACTCTGTCTTTTGGACAAAGACTGCAAGGTTTCTGCTTTGCTGTAAACTGAAATGGACTGTACTGTTGTAAATGCAGGCAAACCTGATGGGAAGAGATGACGATGTCTGACTCAGTTCAGAAGGCTGAATGATTTCTTTATTATAATTATGCTAAAATACATTAATATACTATATAAAGGAAAATACTAAAACTACAAAACTACTTGTTCTATCATCTCTAACTAACACAACTCGTGACCCTCTCTCTCGAGTCCAGCTACAAGTGGATTGGATTGGCCATCAGGCTCCAACAATGCCCAGAATCCAATCAAGCACTCACTCCAGGCAAACAATTCTCCAGACGCATTCCACATGAGAAAAACAAGGAGCAGAAATAGAAATTGTTTTCTCTTTCTGTCTCTCTGTGCACCTCTAGGAAAAATGCTGAGAGAGAGAGAGAAATGTGCTGCCAAAATGTGCTGTTTGTATTCCTTAGCCCCAGTTTCATTTAAATGGTGTCTCTTTAAAGTTCAGAACTGATGAACTTTGCCTGACAGAATCCTGGTCCTGGATGTGTCAGGGTAAACTGAAGCCAGTTTGACAGCAGAAGGTGTGTCTTGTCCCATGGCCAGTAACTGACTCATCATGTAACCTGAAGGAGGAACAAACACTGTTCTTGTGATGCTGTGAACTTTCTTCTCAGGCTCAGAGGACGTGCACAGTGGTAGCAGGAAATGTTCCAATAGCAGCAAGTTGAAGTTAGCTATGGAGTACTGTGTGGGGAGGTTAAACTGGCAGTGAGGGCAAATTCTAAGCAGACCTGATTGAGCAGCAGAAGGAAACTTGGATAGTGACTAATTTTCCCAAGAGCTGGTATGGATTTTTGTCAAAAATCTAAATTTTTTCTGTTTTGGTTCTTATCTCTAGACAATGTGGATGTGTAGAATCTTACTCTGTTCTCATGCCATTGGGCGTCTCTACTTATTTTCCTTATTCAACGGCTGCCCACAGCTGAGATGAGAATCAAGTCAGTCACTTCACTGCAGTAGTAATGATGAATTATGCTTGGTGCAACACTGTACAAAGCTGTATTTCAGATGAGTGAAATATAAAACTGAAAGAGTGAATAGAGAGGCTTAAAAGAGAATAGGTGCATTTTCAGCCAATTAATAGTCCCAGATCTAGAATCTTGTAAAAATGACATTTTACTATGGTAGTTGTTTTAATTTACTTTGGCTATTTAGCAATAATTTTCTCCACATGGAGACACTGTTCAAGAACAAAGGAAAAAGAGTAAAAAAGGCCCTTCCAGAATACCTATAGGGAAATAGTTTTGCTGAGGACTTGCACTGGTGGTCAACTCTTCTGTGTAGACAGCCTGTTTTGCATCTCATTGAAATGACTGCAGAAACTGTCACATTCAGTTGTAATATTTTCAGGCTGTAAATATTTTGTGATGTGCCAATAAAACCTGTCCTGCTGCAATAGAAGCCATTTTCCTGCAACATAGGAAGGGGAAGCACATAAAAACAGTAACTGTGATGCAGTAAAGTATGATGGCAGGTGGTTTTCATTTTATTTTGTATATGTAGTTGGGAAATGAAATGTGTTCAACTAGGTAATTTTCCTTAATTTTACACTTTCCTTCATTCCCTGCTTGGTTCTGCTGTGGAATATAATGCATGGGTTACACAGATATGATTACACAGAGGTATGACTGAAGTGGTGTTTGCTAATACAAGTGATGGTAACAGCAAGTCATGCTGATAGATTTTAAAAAACTGAGCTGTTCCTTTAGTGAGCAATTGCATGGTCAGTCCTGGCCAAGCACCAAAGGATCCTGCAGCTGCTACCTCTGGGTGCTGCTTTCCCAGGAGGCAGATTGAACTAGGCCTACAAAAACCTTCTTATGCGGGATAATACAAAGCAGGAATACCTCATTACCAGCTGATTTATCTCTTTGAGGGAATTTCTGTTTTGATTAGTGGAAGCTTTCTGATTTCAAGGAAGAAAAATAACATAAAAAGGAATATTTTATCTGGAGTTATTTCAATGCAATTGGCCATCAGGGAATAATTTGCCAGAGTCAAATCTTGTATTACACCAGCAGCATCCCAGACTCTGGTCTGTAAAAAGCATGGCATTCCTGCTAGAAGAAGATGTCATTCCATATTTCGTATGTTCTTTTTCCTGAGAAGTCTCAGCCTAAGCAAATTGAAGCCTGCAGGCTCTCAAATCTCAGTAGAGTGACCTGTTTACTAATGATCCTTTTTCTGCTGCATAAAAAATTGATAGAAATCAAGCCAGCCAAATACTACTTCAAACCATACATCAGACAGGACCTGCAGAAGAAAGAGGGCTGAGGTAATGTTCTAACCAGAGGACAAAGTCACACATGTGCAGCATGTTTGTGCTATGGAAAGCCTTGGTGTTAATTTCAGTTCCACACACATTCTCCTCACTGTTGCTATCCATTAATAAATTTTCCCAGCTGACAGTTACACCTCAAAAAAGCTGCTGTCTCATTAATACCTGTATTACAAGCTCTCAAACAAGTCTGACATAATAGGTCAGAGAGAAGGAAGAGAGTTTAGATCCTCTTTGTTTGAAAGTTTCAGGTAATTTTCAGTATGCCTCATCTGGTGCTCTTTGAAAGTAACAGAGAAAAGTTTTGGGAAGAGAGATTTGTGGAAAGTGTTTGGAGGAGACTGACGCTGCACTGAGCAGCCGCTCTTCAATCATCTCCAGCACACAGGTGAGTAAGCATACACCTTTAGAGAATCCAAATTCATCAATGCAGTTTCCAAGGTTAAATATGGTTGAGTTGCAGAAAGATCCCTTTAGTATTTATTTTCTTTCTGTTGTAGATTCTTTCCTGACCCACATAGTTATTTTGTGCGCTACACTTATCCTGGCAGCAAAGGTCACTTAAGAAATTTTGACACCATATTTTTCCACCCACTCAGTAGTGCTGTCATGAGAGTTTGTGAGGTTGTGTTGTAAAATGGTACTGAGAATTTACCAGGGCTAAAAATAAACCTTTCAGCCAAACCCTTTTTTTGTGTGCTAGTTCGTTTTATCTCTGTCAGTAGATGGTTTGGACTAGAACCAAAGTATCTCTTAGAGTAAATACAAGCTGCTATCAGCACTATGGAAAAAGCTTCACCTAGTTTCTAGACAAATTATTCTGCATGTTGGAGCTGTCTGCTGCACAACTTGACACTAAATTCAGAAATCCGGTTATTTAAATACAAAATAAAATACTTTTTCCTTTGGACTTACACATGCATCTTTGTGTATGTAAATTCTTAGTGCAATCTACATCTTCAATCAGTATTACCAAAGCATGAAGGTGCGCAGAATTATTTACATAATAAAATAATATCCCTAACTAGAAATTATTTGCTTTAATAAATCCTTTCATTCATTTGGATTTAAAGGTATTTTTTGTGTCGTTACTAGTTCTAAAAGATAATAAGTCAGCTGGATGCCATCAGAAATGGGGCTAGCCTGCAGCACTTAGTGACATTTATCTTTGCTATCTTCTTCCTTTTAATTTTGCATGGCAATCTAAATATCACTGAAACTGTATCTGTAAGGTAGATACAGAGAAGCAGATGAGCTAGTGCAATGTGCTTTTGTTGCTGAAAACTGGAAAGGAGCAGTGCCTTAGGTTCTACATGTGACTGTGTCATCATTACAAAATGTTCAGTTGTTTCTGGGCACCTGCCCAATGCTACTAAAACCTGCTATTAGTTCTAGGAAATTAGTGGCTGACAGATTCTTAATCAAGTTTTTAATTTAACTGATTTATATTCTCAGCATGTTCTATTTGATTTTTTTTTCTCTTTTTTTTTTCCTGTCATTGCAATTTTGACATTATCCAACTGAACATGTTTTTGGGACAATTTTTTTCTGGCCAAGCAACTACATTTGAAACATGGAATAAAATGGATAAGTTAAGAAACAAATGCAATTTTTTGTCTTCTAGGGAATGTCTCTGGCCAGGCCATATATGTGTTTCTGGGTTGGAGCAAAAATCAGTGCTGGAGAATATTAAGCAGCATACAGTTACCCACATTTGCAGAACATGTTTTAATAATTGATAACAAGTAAGCTTTACCTTGATGATGTAAGCGTAGGTCATTTTCTTTTAACCCATGTTTATAATCTTCCTGAAATGAGCTTTAGTTAATGTACATGGCACTGGTATTGCATTAATGCAGCTGCACCCATAGAGGTGATGGCTGATGCATTGCATGCACAGTGTAAGGTCCCCACTGGTGCTGCAGGATGCTGGGGCCACTTTGAGTGTGATCGTGGAACTCAGCCTTCCCCTACTGCTCCTGCCACAAGAGTTCTGCTGCTGTTAAGGCAAAAGTACAAAAGTATTTCTCACAGGAGGGAAGAATTCAGGCAACATTTCAGCAAGGAGGCAATGAAATGTATGATAAAAAAAGATAGGAGCAATACTTGACTTTGGTGTAACCCCTGTGCAATCATTGTCTCTCACTTCGGATAAGATTCATCTGGTTGGCTGGAAGAGGCTGCTGACAAGCACGTGCACAGCAGCTGAAGAAACCTCACCTTTGTAAAGTGCTTTTAAATGAAGGATTTTAGAAGGACAATGGCAAAAGCTGTCATGAAACTCCATATGGAAAACCAGTTCTTCTTTAGGTCATACAAGAAGAGAGACTAATCTAGGCTGAACAGCAACCAGTTACAACACAGTTTAAATGTTAAAGAAGAAATTATTTGATTTCAAGTAGAATGGCTGAGTTCTGAAACAGCAGTTTCGCAGAATGTAGGGAAAAAATTTGGCTGCATTTAGGTTCTATCATCGTCACCACATGAGGGGAGAGGAAGTTAAGCCGCAAAGTTGACACGCTTTCATTTGGTGTTTTGCTGATCTTCAACCAAGGCAGCCTGATGCAAATGCTAATAATTCTGCATGATGATTATACTTCCAATGAAACTTCTTTTAACAGTGTGTTTTGGCTGCTTAGGTAAGTGTTGGGTGTTTTTTTTTTTTTGTTGTAGTTGTTTTGGTTTTAGTTAATTGTGTGTAATTCTTGAGCTGGATTTAAAAAAAACCAACTTATGGTATATCCACCTCAAATACACATGTGAGACAAGGAGAATATTTACTGTCTTTTCATAATGCTGAAAGCAAGATTAAATAGCATGAGAAATCAAAAAGTATTTTCACAAAGAAATTGTTTCAGGGAAAGCATTGAGGAATAAATTAAACACTTCAACACCCAAAATGATGTTAGGTTAATGTATGCACCATCTTTTTAGGATTTCTGACTTGAATATTTTTTATGAAAAATGCTGAATGTAGAATTTTAAAATGTTAAGGATAATTTATTCTAGATCACATAGGTACTGAAGTACAAAGCAGAAAGAATTCATGATTCTTATTCAATACAAATCACAGTGGATAATGCTGAAGGTATTCCATATGAGTTTAAAAATTAGCAAAAAAAATTTTCAGTGATATTTTTCAGAAAAGCAGTAAAGATGGAAATATAGCACAGTCAATGGCACAACTGTTTTAAACAACAAATCAAATGAACAGATAACCTGAAATTGGTGATTATTTCTTTAACTTGAACAACTTAGAAGCTGTTCTAGCTGTTCTATTAGGTTGTCATTTATACACTGCATCATTTATTTCCCTTATTTTTTCTGCTGCTTATATTATCCCTATACTGTCCATATTCTTTTCTACAAGTTTTTAAGTGTTGCATTGTAAAGATGGAGGTGCCTGACTCCTTTACTTGTGATGAATGTGTGGCTTTTTCTATTGAAAAAACAGAAAAATTGATTTGCATATTTTGATAAAACCGATCAGATGCCATTTTAGTGTGAGATATGAAAAAAATTGTCTAATTAGTGTGTCTTGCTGTGAAATGTGCCTGAGTGATAAACAGAATAAAATTTAGAAGAAAATCATGCCATTTACTCTTATTATTAGTTCTTCCCTTTAATGTTGTAAAGGATAGAAAAAAGGAATTACAATTCTTCATATAGCAGATGAAAATAATTGTCTCAGCAGTCATGGAAATAGATTTTATAGTATTAGCAATTTTGTAATGAGCATCAATGCCATTAGAATGTAAAAAGAGTTATCTGATACCCACATAGTGTTTTCCCTTTAGAAGAAAATGCTTTGTACATATATTGCACAATGTCTCATGTATCACTCACTTTGCATGTTGGCAGTGAAAGAAAAATGTTCTGAAAGCAGGAAGAAACAAAAAGTTTGATTTCTACTGATACTGTCCAAGTCAGTCTTTTCTTAAAAGCCAGACAAGAGACCTGATGAAAGAACAGGGTAACAGAACATTTAACCTCTTATTAAATGAAGGAGGTGAATTTGATGTTGTAAACTGCTTGTCAGCAAGTACTTCATAGAAGAAGTTGAAACCAAGTGAAAAAACTCACCTCTCAAATGCTGTACACTTGTCATTCATTAGAAGTAGTGCTGGACAAGAACTCCTACATGGGGACAAAATTTGCAGTGTCTTTTTCTTCAAACTTGATGAGCTTTTCACTATTGAGTAATGAATCATTCTGAATTACTCCTTTTGTTCCTTCTTTATCCGGCAGAGAGTGTTTAATATACTTCAAACTCAATCTCTTTTTATAAAGCTTTTTCTTGAAAATAAAAATGCAGAAAATATTTGTTTATTTCACACAAACAATGTTTGAGGACTTTAACACATCAGATTAAAAGTTTACTTTAGCCAGAAAACAATTGCCATCATTTAAGGAAAAAGTGAGGAGTAAGCTTGAAAATTATTGTTGTAATGATTTTGCAGCATTAATTGTTATTTTAAATGCTTATTTTAATATTTAAACTCTTCTTTAATGTTAAATTATTTATTTTAAATACAGATTTCATTACATTTCTTTGTTGCTTTACCTTTTAAATCTGTGTGTATTTCTCCATAGCTACAGGTTCCAATAATTCAAGAGTCATCCAAACACCAACAAATATAAATCTGTTAGTTGGAGACAATACTGAAATCACTTGTATTTGGGAAAAAGCTATTGAGAGGTGTAGAGTACACTGGTATTTTGTTAATAAAGTGAACATCAGTAAAACTATATCGTCAAAACTTTTCTATTCATCCAACATCACCCGTGAAAACAAGGATGTGCTAGTCATCAAATCTGCCAATGTAAATGACACTGGATTTTACTACTGTGAGATAATTATTGAAATACCTTGCTTTAAGAAACTACGTGGAAATGGGACAACAGTGATTGTTGAAGAGAAAGGTAGGCTAGCAAGAACATATGTGTGACATTTCACTTGTCATCAGAAAGATTTTTCAATTTGAACTATGTTATGCGTTTCCTGCCCCTCCCACCTGCCTTCCTCAACACTTGGATCTCTGGGTGAAAGACACAAATACAAAGAGGGTCTGAACAACTTTTAATGACGATTGACTTAAACTCTCTGCCTTAATATCACCTCTGTAGTGTTTGTTTTCCTCCATAAGGATTTGCTGATAGGAATTATTACCTAAGGTTTACAAAAATGCTGTGCATGAGCTTCTGTTTCACACAAGACCCAACCACAGTTTCTCCTCAGAGGAGGAGGAGGATAGATGCAAGACCCTGAGTGAATCTGCTGTGTGGTTACAGGGGGCTGCAGTGATCACATGGTTACTCTGCTCAGTAATCTGTAACCTTTACTAACCATTTTATTTTTTTATTACAAGTTCTTAATGAAAAGGGAGAAATAAATCAATATGGATGATAGAGCAGTATGGGCCCTATATGGATTTGTGTCCATAAAGTTGTAGCCAACTGTTTTATATGTGCTGTGTCTCCCTGGTTTTTTACCAGTCATATTCTAATTTCTACAGGGGAGCAATTTAAGATCCCAATTCTAAGTTAAGCATTGAAAATCATGAATGCAATTAGTATTCCCACACAATTAAAATTTTCAGCAATAGGAGTGACATCCATTTAACCTTAAATTATTAATATAATGTAAGACATCCAGAAGACAATTTACTTCCTACAACTAACTGAAGACATTATGCACCAGTTCTGGAAGATGCTGATCTTCAGCTCTTTTTATACCTCTCAAACGCAGACAAAGACTGGGGGACTAGCTGTGATTAGACCTTTAGCACTATCAATCATCACTCACCTGCTGACTGGTCCAGTCACAGGAAGCCTTTCCAATCATGCAGTACACTCCAGTTTTGTACAGTATTTTATACTGTGTGTCAGCTGGTTCAAAGGGAAGCACAAAAATTATCAAAGATTTAAAAAATATCAGTGCCAGATAATCAATGAAGTAATGTTCAAAATGGTGGGAAGTGAATGTAGATTATTTTAATTCTTTAACAGTGTTTTAATGTCCTAAAATGAGTTAGGGAATCTGATTTCTTACGTGGTCAAGTACAAGCAGAAGACTTGTGGTAAATTCTGGGGGAGGGGGGATGTCAATCTGCAGGAGCTGTAGGAGGTACTGACATTACTGTTCGTCAGGATGCATCCCTTAGGAACAGGAAAGTGACCTTGCACCTGATTCACTCTTGAAATATTTTTTAATTTTACCTGCCTTTTCTATTTTATCTTTAAACAGTACATCACAGAGGTTTGGAAGCATGGGCCATCCTTCCTGTTTTGGTGGCAATGGGAAGCGTATATCTTTGCTACAAGAAGAAACAGCTCTCCACCCTATCTGGTGAGTTACAGTATTTCCATTAGCACACAGAAGTTATGGGTTTGCTTTGAGATGGCTGGAGAGGTGCACTTAAGAGGTATTTCAGTGTGTAACTTTGCTCACCTGGTCCTGGTCTGCTGGGGCATGCTGAGCTGAGGAGCGATCAGAGGCACAGCTTGTAGTTCAGGCGAGTGTTCTTGCAGTGTCCATCCTTTTAAGGAGAGTCATCACTTAAACTGAAGATCTTGACCTGGCTAGGGAATTCAAAGGGGATCAGTTCTAATAATTTCTTGCTAATTTCTGACTGAAAAACTGAGGAGACAGAACTTAGCTCTGCCACATAGACTCTTACTCCTGGTAGAAACAACTGGAACTGACATGTGAAAAACTCAGCCTTGAACACGGAGTTCTGTTTTTTCAAGCTGTGATTTCTTTTTCGTTAACTATTAATTTGGGTTGGTAGGGGGTTTTGGTGGGAAGTTTTGTTTGTTCATTTGGGGTTTTTTTTTTTGTTGTTTGGTTTAGGGTTTTTTTTTCAAAATCTAGAAGTTTAAGGGTAGAAGAAATCATAGGAAAATAATGGTGAATGACAAGGGTGCAGGACAAATAAAAATGCAGGGCAGCTGTGAGCAGAGGGCTCAGATCAGCGAGATAATCTAAGGCAGCCTCTTAAGTAACCCTTTGGGGTAGTTTTCAGCTTATTTCATTTGCAGCCTGATGGCCACTCTAGTGCCTGTCATCAAGCCTATCTGTACAAGAGCTCTGCACTCTCCATTTCAGAGCTTACCGAGCTCTGGTAGAGGGCAGGTGTGACTCTGGCCATGGACAGCAAGCAAGCACTGACTGGAGCTTGGCTTTTATCAGGTGCTGCACAGATTCCTGTGCTGACAGAAAGGCAAGAGCAGGAGCAGAGAATTGAGGTGGAAGAGCTTCACGGGAGAAATGAATCCACCAGGGAAGCAGCTGAGGCAAACTCATCATCTAATTCTGCTGAATGGGTAAGAGGTTTATAAAAAGACTCTTGCTATGAGAGGGTTTTCAAAATGAGGCACTGGGGAGTAGATGGAACAGAAAGCACACAACAACCTGCTGTTCTTAAGACAGCATCTTCCTACACATGATAAAGGTTTAAAGCAAAAAAAAACCCAAAAACGCACTCAGAAATAAGAAGAGGGATATTTATGTAGCAGGAAAGTATTGAAATCTGTTATTATAGTTAATAACACTCTAAGATTGTCTGGAGAAGATGGCAGCAAAAAGTGGAGAATATCAATATAGAGACTGAGTGAAAGAAAGAAACGTAGGAGAAGTAAAAAGTGGCAAGAAAGTCCCTTTATGTGTAATTGTGTGCCAAGCTCAAGGGGCTTGGACCAGCTTCAGCTCATAAGGTCATTAGAGCAGGCAACACTTGCTGAGAGCAGGTAGCAGATTTCTGGCAAGCTCCTTTTCCCATGCAATTATTCATCTTTTAATTACATTGAAACATAAATTAGGCAAGGGGGAAAAAAGCCCTAATTTAATCCTTGCATAGGCAAGCACAGTATTCATTGCAATCAGCTAGACAGGCTTGGGAAAGTCACACAGAAGAGATGAAAAATGTTCTAGCCTGTGGTTACAACTGCAGTTACTGGGCTTACAGATTCCCAGGTTCTCCTGTAAGAGAACCTGGCTGCAGCCATGATTTGGTCACATTGGTACTGTGGTCATGGCAAGAGAAAATATCAGCATGCAGGTAGTGAAGCAGTAATATCTATCTTTTATTGAGCAATAGCCATTGCTCTAAGAAAAAGAAAATACCTGGGAAAATTCATTCTCTGTATGTAGGGTGCCCCTGAAGCTAAGAGACTTGCTTTAACTGGAGATATCATAGTAGAAAATTACAAGAATACAAGTCATAATGTGGTCTGGTCATAGTAATAAATTATTCTAATTACTAGCTATGAAGGGATTACTCTTCTGCTTGTTAATATTTAATGAAGATGTAGGAAAATGAGGTTGAGAATGAGAAAACAAGCATCCTAGGGGGTGCTGAGTGAAAAGTTTATTAGTAGCCAGTTACTGCTCAGGATTTGTGTGGATAACACTACTCTAGAGGATGTGTGAAAGCAATTATGATCTTTTGTAGCTGCTTTGTAATTTAGCAACGACCAGCCACAATGATGTGTCATGACATAGGTTCAGTATTTTCCTTCCTGAAACAGACTTTTTTTTTGCTATTTTAGTGAAAGTAGAAAGAGTGGTTTCATAGTGTCATCTTTTTAAATGTTCAAGCATAATTGGATGTTATAAATCATTCAAGAGATCTGGTAGGTTAAGCCAGTAGTGATAAGCAAATATTATGGTATCTCTGGAATTGCACTAACTGCCTTTCAATTGTATTGCAGAATGTAATCACCTTAATTTTTTTTTTTTTGATTGTGAAAAAGTCTCTACTTACTTGAGATTTTTAGCATAACTTACACTTTTCTTTTAAAGTTTGGAAATTTGGTGAATATTCTGAGTCAGTCTGGACATCATTTCTACAACAGTGAACATGAAGGTTCTATCTGCCTCTGCAAGACTTTACAGTCTCATGCTTTTTTTATAATTCTTGGTGTTTAAAAGGCAATCCTGTAACACAGAAACTGAATCAGGCCATGGATTTTATTCACACCTGTATTATATCTCACAGCAACACTGAGCTATTAGGTCAGGTGACAACACATAGGTGCAAGTAACTTAACCTGGGAGTGAACATCCTCATGGCAAAGCTGGCTCCTGTAGCTGTGCTTTCAGTATGTAGCACTTGTCTCTGTCTCTGGAGAATCTTTCCATGTTTTCTCAGCTGAAATGCTTTGGGAGTGTTTTCCAGACAGTTTTGCCAAATGCAGGGGAATTTGGCCTTTGAGGGAATTCCCAGTGAAGGTGATGATTTTTTCATCAAATTCTGCAGGTTCCAGGCAAAAACTAAGCACTTTTGTAGCATTAATACAAACTTCCAGCTCATGGTAGCATGCATAATGCTCACTCTTGACTGCAATTCTTGCACAGAATTGTGATCCAGCTTGCTTGGCCATCCCTACCATGCCTCCTGTTTGACATTTGTCTGGCAGGGGCCTCTCTGTGCTGAACATGGTTCATCAGAACACAGACAGCAAACCCCCAGAGCAGCGTGTAAGTGTGAAGACAGAAAGCTGCCTCATTACTTCCACCCATTTATTCATTTATGCCATCTCAGCTTGAGATTTTGGTTTTATATGCCTGTGGGAATAGGTCTTTGTAGGACTTACCTATGCATGTTTAGGAATAGAATTTTGCATTGTCCAGAAGAGCATCTGAATACCACAGCAGTGTGCTAGTTTACTGCATCAAAAGAGCATCCATCCAGAGGGAAGAGTATGATGAAGCTTTTTGGAAAAATCAGAGTTAAAAGAGTAAGGGGGTAAAAACGTTTTCCATTTCAGATTTCATAGAATCTGAGCTACACTGGAACTTGACTTCTTTAGTATTCTAAAAAAGTATTTTGTGCCTGCTGTCTAATTAACTAAGAGCATTGAATTGAACATAGGAAGGCTTTGCCTTTCAGCATTACTACTGAGACATTCTTTTCCTCTGTAATTGTAACTTCATGACTTGTGTACCTTTGTGTTTTCTGAGGTTGTGCTGTGTCATGGGTAAAAGTTCATTTTACATCTACTTTATGGGTAAAAATCCTGACTGACATTTTCTTTGCTTTTCAAGGCCGTGTGTAAGCTTTATGAATCACTTGAAATTTTTTGCAATGACGCAAGAGGAAAAGATGACAAATCCACTGTGACTATTGTATCTAATGAGCAAATCCCACAGACTAGGGCAGCTGAAAAGTCTAGAATGAGACAAGGATCTGCCATCTAGATCTGCCAAGGTAGATCTGCCATCTACCTTGACATTCAGAACTAAACAAAATATGGCTAAATAACTATGAAACTGAAAAATATGATAATTTGCTGCTGCAAGATGGATTACGTGTTTCCTGTCAAAGGCTTGTCAGTGGGACAATATGCAAGAAAAAAGTTGACTCTCAGTAGTTTTTGAATGTTTTGTCACTAACAAAGCACTCTAAGGAGTCTCTGAATTTGAAGGATGTAATTTAGAAGACTACCTTCAGCTCTTCCTCTGGTGTCCAGAAATACTGTGTTTACCATACTTTGAAAAAAACTTCTGAACTGAGCAACATTCTTCAACACAAGCATTTCTTCAGGAAGCCCTGATGCATGAACAGGAGATGGTAGAGAAAACAATGCATGGAGTCTGAGCTCTGAAACTGTCGTCAGTTCTGAACACATTATAGAAAGAAGTATGTCAGAAAGGATTATATTCCTGTGGAAAGGGACTATTAGTGTTAATTCATTCACAAACTAGGAAAAGTCTGCCAGAGAAAGAAGTCTCCTACACACAATGAAATTCTAGATTTAAATGAAGCTACATTATAGAGAATCTATAATTATTATCTAACTGGTTGAGGAAGGCTGCTTGGAAGAGATAGGGGTGATAATGCTTGTTCCACTTTTGCCAGCTTTAAAACCTTTTTTAAAATCACTGAAGAAAAACCAAAGTTGAAAAAATGAAGGAGAACCTGGCTTCCAAGGTAAGAACACAGGGGAGAAGTTTTGACAGCAAAGCTCATGGCAGTTGTCCAAGGGCTGCTGAATGCCAAGAGTGGATATCTTGAAATGTGAATATGTTTATGTACCAGGATTATGTCATCTTCTGTTAATGTTTTTTTCAGAGCTTAGCTGGAGGTTAGAACATCTTGCCATCAGTGTGGGTAGAAACAACTTCACTGGAGATTTTTGTCCAGCTTGTACCTGGGCAGTGCAATAGACACAAACCAGCTTTCCCAGAGCCCTTCAAAACTGCTTGTGTAGCCTAAATGCGTGACTGGCTTCTTACTAAATACTGTTAATGAAATATTTCTGGCCATACAGCACAACTCGTGGTGTGGCTCTGTGCTGTACTGACTGCAGCTCACTAAGCTACCTCTCAAATTACTGTAATTCAGTTGTGTCTCACTCTGTGCTATGGATCCTCTTTCTTGGGTTGTTCTGTAACCTGTCCTGAATTTCCTACTGCAATAAATATGCTGCTGTCTGAACTAGACTGTAAGCAGTGTTCTGTGATTATGTCTTGTATGAGAGAGACTGTTATAATACATCTCATGGTATTTATGTGTTAATTGAATAAAGGAAAAGAATGTTCTTTTTTTCTTCCTAAAGTTCAAATATTTTAAAATCCTAGTGTGATTTTTCCTGAAACTCACTATTACAGATCCATTTCCTTTACTGCATGGTGAAACTCTGTCATGTGCCATATTCCTTCAAGGATCAGAGATGGGGCTGCTCTGCATTCCCCCAAACCCTGTAACTTTGTTTGCTACACAAGAAAATCATAATCTGCAAAATGCTGACCTTCAGCCCAAGTCCCTGTTCAAGGAAGCTCTCAGTTCAGAAAAATGTTAAAGAAAACCACAGCTTAATAGTCTCCAAATCCCATTTTCATTACATTTTGATTAAATGTGGCTCCTAACAGCAAAAAATGCTGCCTCCTTGACAGCTGCTCATATATTGTATGTTAACGTGGTCGTTTCCAACATCTGTAGAAGCCTACACCCAATTTATCATGACCTATTTTTATCTGCGGCTGACAGTGGTGGCTATGAGCCAGCAGAGTATTTTTAGAGCTCCAGCTTTTGACACCTCTGCCTCAAATATATTAACTTCTCTGCTTCTTGGGAAGCCACTTGGGAAGCAATAAATCCTTCTGTGTTTTACTTCTTGGCTGTTTTGTTAGCTTTAAAACAAAAGACTGCTCTGTAATTAACCGCAGGTCACGTTCTAGCATGCATGATCTCAGTTTCAACTGTCTGTTTAGCTGATGAGTATATAATGAAGGCATCTGTCTAATAATAGAAGAGAGTCCTGGGCCTTTGCTTTCAGCCATTTTATTGGTTATTCCCTTTTGAGCAAGCTGCTGAAAAATGATGGTTCCATTCCGTTTAATTTGATGTCCAAAGTCCTGTGTTGGGCACAGGCTGAAACATGCTGATTTAGGAGCAAGTCTGGCACAATGAATTCAAAAGCTTTGTGTGTGTTCTACGTTTTTAATGTCTCGCCGATGTACTTGTTTCAGTCACAGTCCTACAAATGAGGCTCCCTCTCTGCTCTGTCACGCTCCTGATGCTGGTTAGGAGAGCTGGTACAGAGCTCTTCCCAATCCATTGCAAAACCATGCAAGGAGTCACATCTTATTTACTCTTCCTAGCACTTAGGTAGCTACTCTTAGTGACTTGAGTACGATCCAGCTTGACCTGCACATTTTCTTCCAAGCCCTTGTTCTCGTTGTATCCATGGAAGAGGGCTATGGGGCAAGCATTCCCAGCCCCGTTACACCAAGGACCCTCAGTGGCAGGCAGGATGATGAGGTGTCCCGATGAATGTATTTGCAGAACAGCCCTGTTTGTGACTGATGTTCTGGGCCTGGCGCTGTCAGAACAGCAGCGAAGCTGTGGGTTAACCCTGTCTGAGCTCTGCACAGCCACTCCTCACTCCTGCCTCCCCTGGGTGGTTACAGCGAGGGCAGCTGTAAAGGGCTTTTTCTTATCGTTGTTTTTGCTATGTGCTCTTCTGTCAGTTCTTTGTAAACAGGAAACTGCAACTACAACTGACAAACAAATACACAGATCAAAAGAATGTGAAACAATTTCTTTAACTAAGAGAAAGGGCAGGTGATCATCTGTCAGTGTTTCTACATAATGTGAAATGCTGAGATGGGAGGAAGGATTTTTATGATTATTCAAATAAAACAGCTTTGGCTAAGTTGCTGTGATCTGCTGCTGTGTGCCGGTGAATTTGGTTGGCTGAGAGAATGTGACAAAAATTAATTTCTTTTCTTTTATTCCAGAGCAGTCTGTTGGCAGGGCTTGGCAATATCTTATACAGCCAAAGCTGCCCTTCCTCACCCTGTTTCATGAAGTATTCAACTCCACAGAGGTAGAGGAGTATATGTAAGGGTAAGACAGAGAGGCAACAAGTGCAGGGTCTGCGTTAGGTATTATTAATGGACCTAAGACAGCAAGAGATCAGAGGTATAACTGAACTTAAGGGTTTGAAATCATAACAAGGAACTGGGCCTGTCATGTACATTTACTCTGAAATGTTGTCTATTCTTTTATCTGCTGATGTTCTTGTCCCAAATTTGAATGCTCAACTCCTCAAGCCAGGAATGCTATATCTGTAAGTTGTCAGGCTTAATACAATTGCAGTCCATGGTTAGGGCTTCTGGTACTGCTGTGGAAATAAATCATGAAAGCAACTAAGAGGTGTTGTTCCCTCCTTTACTTTTTAGCTTTTCATTCTGGAGAAAGGAAAAAAGCCATAAGCTTCTCTAACAAAGACATCATAAAATGGTCGGGTAGTAGGGTGAAAGACACTCCAAAAATACCAAAATATTTTCTTTTCTCTGATAAAAAAGCTCTGCTTTTTTAGTTTAGCAGCTGTACAAGATTAAAAGTTGTCATTTCAAGTTTCTTCTTACAGACTAAACTTAATCTAAACTGCAGATCTAATCTCCAAGAGGGGCTGCTATCAAGCAAGAAAGGAAATGGAAAGAGTAGTTACCATTTAATTCAAACCCATTGCCCCTGGGTAGAAAGAGTTGCAGCTGCTTTCTCACCTCACCTTCAGATAAGCAGTTTGGCTGTGTGAGTCCTGTGTCAGGGTGCTGAGCACAGGGACATCACACAGCTACAGGTTGTTCCCAAGACACCATAACCAGTGTCCTGGCACAGCAATGGCTACTCTAGTTAAGACACATACCAGGTAGGACATTTAGATAGGTATAAGCACATTCAAAGGATAAATTGTGGCCAAAATAATGCAGCTCCTGTATTGTATTTGTGACTACATCTCCTCAACACAGTCAAGCATCCTCTCTTCTAGGTGAGACTCTATTCATGGTTGGGTTCCCCTCTCTAAAGCAAGGATTGTCCCACTTCTGTGCAGATCATTCTTTATTTTCCTATTTGTTGAAAGCCTTCCCTTTTTCTGATAAGTGAAATCTGATGTTAAATGATCTGTTACAAAAGCAGGCTCTAGTTCCATTTCCCACCCCTGCTTCCAGTATTTCTGAGCCCAGCGTTTCCTGCCGTTAGCAGTGACAGAACTGCTAAAAAAACCCCACTCCTTATCAGTTGCACTTCACTCTGTGATTGCTTTCAGGAAACTGAAAGCAGCCAGCTCTGTAAAATGTGTGTGCCTGGGGAACTTCCACTCCAGCAATTTGCCTTGTAAATCTTCCTGGTGGCATCTGTGGATATTGAAGCGATACATCACCTCACTTTACACACAGTTCTGCGATAGTAGGTCACTCCTACCCCATATCCTCAGTGTACACATAAATTAATATTTCAAAATGAAAAAAAAAAAAAAGTTTTTCAAAAAGGGGAATGCCTAGGGGTTTCTTTGATGTGTTTCTTGCATCGACACTCAACACTAAACAACTTTCTCTTAGATATTCCTCTCAGAAATTTTTTTTGTACAATGAAGGAAAAAGTGTATTGCTTAATTCATAGTTAAGCATGACAGCTAACAGAGCCAAAATATTCCTCCTTGCAAACAGAACTCTCTTGAGAGCTTACTTGGAATTGGGTTATTCATTTTTGCATGTTGTACCTCTCTATAACAACAATGAACTTCCTTTAAAAGGTTTACTCAGTTGCTTTAATTTTTACAAAACAAACATCCTCCTTCATAGCTCTCTTTGAGCCTTTCTGATTTTTCTTCTCCTTTGCTTTTTCTTTTCCTCTTTGTTCTTCTTTTCCTTTCTCTTTTCTTCTTTTTCTCCTATTTTTTCTGACCATGCCATAGACCAACTTTTTACTATGCTCACCACAGCTCAGCGGGATTGGCTGATAGCTGAGTGGGATTTTACATAAGTGTTAAAGTAGAGCAAATGGCACTTAAGCTGCTGGTGAGAGACTAGCTGAGAAAACATGGATTTAGCAACTACAGCACTTGTATGGACAACATTCGGTTACCTTAGGGTGTGGTGTGACCTCTTTTTCTGTCATTACAACTAAAAATAAAAAGTATTATTGGAAGACAATATCAAGAACCTTAAAACTGAAGTAAAAAAGAACCCTGCAAAGAATGGCATCCTGGAAATTATTCAAAAAAGGAGTGAAAACCAGACAGAAGTATTTACCCTGCAAATATTAATTTATTGGCTGTAAATATATTCATTGATTTTACAGTCTAATGTGGCTATGTCTCGTGCTCTAATAAATGTGTTTGATTAGAGTCAATATGCAGCGCTGCAAATGTGTTTCCCACAACACAGCTTTGCCAGATGACAGTGTTATTACTCCAACTCTCAACTCAGGAAATCACACAGCCAGTTAACTGACCTCAATCTTATCCATTTCACCTGCCTTTAAACTTCACTGAAATGGCATGTGAGATGATTAATTGCATTTTTTAATGCAATGAGAAGTAAATTATAATAAAACAATGAAAACTGATCTGTCTATAATTAACAGAACCTATCCAGTGTGTCACTGAACAGCACACTGTGCTTGTACGAATTCCTCTTCTGCCTGTGCCCCACCAGTGCCTGTTTAGTCTGACCTTTTTTTTACTTTTTCTGCTCAGCAATGTAGTAATTGCATCATCTGCTCACTAGACATAAATAAATTCACTGTGTATTTCGGAAATGAAATTATCTTTAAAGACCATTAGCCAGACTTACAGAAAATTTTGAGAAGCAGTGCAAGGCAAATGAAGTGTGTTTGTGCTTGAAGTTCAATAGACTGTCCAGGACACTGGAAAATTCAGGAAGTTTGAAAATTCTAGCTCAATATGGAATATGAAATGTTTGTTTGTTGTTCAAATGTTACTCTCTTGCTAAGAGGAAAATAAATTACTTTTCATATTGCTTCTAAGAAACCAGAAAAATAACAAGAACATAATTTCAAGTTATTTTCTTCCTTCTGTGCTTCTTCCACCCAGATACGTAACACAGTTGTGGAAATTGTAAAAAAGTCCTTCTCATGTACTTTTCTGCCCCTTTAGGAATAAGATAAGCTGTAAGGGATGAAAAGTTCTACTAGAAGTTTACCATTTCAACTATCTCATTTCAACTATTCATCTGGCTGTGACACAAATGGGCCTTTACAGTAAAACTGAAAAATTTATTTCTTCAGACTTTTCCAAAACAGACACTGCTGCAAAGAGCATGGAATAAAATTTATTCTTTACGAGAATATCAGCACAGTCACACAAATCTCATGTAAGCCTGAATATCTAACCAAATGCCATAGAATTGGGGTACACCTGAATGGTTTTTGAAAATTATGCATGTGACAGTCCACATATGTATCACATATATAATTTAAAGTTTTGGTCCAAGTCAGGAACACTAAGACCTAATTCTTTATAACCACTCAAAAAATACTCATCCAAACTGTTGCCTATACCATTCTTCAAAGAAAGAAATGTGAAAGAAGCAAATAATGAGTATTATTATAATTATAATACAAAATTTAAACAAGTGCACAGAAATAGCTTCTCTCACTGGGGAGCTAGACCGATGGGTTGGCATCAAAATACTGCCAGGTCTCCTATGTGGGTCTTCTATTTGTATTCTGTTTTGGTTTTGCAAACAACTGTAATAGTCTGTGCTGTGTGCACAAAGCTGTTATTTTTAATGACAAACAAATCATAAGAAAATATTTAAACAGTTCAGAAAGTGTGAATTGAAAACTCTGAGCAGTGCCGGTGTGTGTGCACATGCATGAATATAGATAAAATACACATCAAAAATAAACAAACCCAACCAGGCAGCACTACCATTGTGACCTTTCTGTTAGTAGAAATTCAAGCTCTGTGGTTTATTCTACTTTTTAGCACTTTTGCAGCCATATCATCAAAAACTGTGAGTCACCTATGTTTGCAGAGGAAAATGTGTGAGAAGACCTTTTCTGCCACATTACGTGGGAGAGTTGTGGACATACTGACACATCCTGTTGACTGAAGCTGATCTCCCTCTCTGCCCTTTTGGGAGCACTTTCTTCCTTCTGTATAGCTAACAATGATGTTCATGATTCATAGTCATAAAAACATACAAAATACACATTTTAATTTTAAATTTTTTTCCTTTAAATGCAGGAATTTATTTTTCTTTACTGGCCATGTTTAATATTCATTTTGCAGACGCATGTCAGAAAAGGACAAAGAAAAGTTCCTGGCACTTGACACACCGGAGAGTGCTACTGTGTGGGTGTGTGCAAAGACCAGATCATATTCATAGCTGACAAGGGCCAATTGTTTGCTCTATTCTTGTTTCTTCTGAAGAAGAAACCCCACAGATTTCAACATGCACTTTAATGTAGAAGTTTGAAACTTCACTTACAACCCTTATCCCTGTAATGCAAATCAGTTGCAACTATTGTTGCAACTATTGACTATAATCAGTCATAAGGCTGAAGTCAAGAATAAATAATTTTCATTAACTGTTTGGATAAAGTATACAGCCCAAGGTGCTGCTGATTTTTGGGAAATGCAAAATCACTTGTTGGAAAGTATAAGATAGAAAACCACAGGGTTTTTTTTTTTTCAGAACAGTTCTAGATTTCTACATACATGGGATATGTAGTCTACGTAGTCTTGCTCTGAGATATTGTTGATGTTAGAGGACAGATTTTGCCTGGGGAACAGGTGGCTGTAGGCATTTGAGAGAATGGAGTTTTATTTTTAAAGTTTTGCTTAATTAAAAACCAATTTTTGCTAACTCATCTGTAGTATATTGTGAGTGGAAAGTTATCTGCAAGCATCTTCAAGGATGTCCAAAGACATCCAAACTCAGGTTTAATTATGGAAATCCACAGTCAGGGTCTTCTACAGAGAACATTGCACCCTGGGTGCACCCTGGGGTACATCAGCATTACTCATACACAGTGCCCCAGTTTTCATAAGTTCCCTCAAATAATTTGCTCAGAGTGTCTCCATTCTGCATACTCTAGATGTCATCACCTCAAATGAGCTCCTCCAGGTCTGGTTTAGGCACCTGGAGTTGGCAGAGACCAAGTTACCCTGTGCTTGGCCAGAAATCAGAACTTGTTCAAAACTCAGCATGGCTGTAGCTTCCACCAGCTGTGCTCCCAGTGCCCAGGTGCCACCCAGCTCCCAGCACAGACCCTCAAACAGCTCTGCTCTGGGTAGGTGTGAGCCCAGCCAGTTTGCTGTCTAATGATGGAGGACCCCAGTTTCCAAACAAAACACAAAGTTCATCAAAGGCCATAGAGGAGCACAGGACTTCAGAGTGACCTTTTGTTTTCAGTACAAGTTATTTTATTGCAAAATTTGTACTGCATAAAATAAATAGCAAGTAATTTTACTGCAGATGAAGATGGATTTTGATACCGGCTGTTTGCTCAAGTATCAGATTTACTGCTTCAGATATCTCTGCCTGAGTAAGTTTTTTGTGGAGCAGCTGTGCAAGACTCCCTTTGCTGCCCCTGGACTCCTTTTGCTGGCTGTGCAGAGATGCTGGATCAGAAGACCTGTTTGAGACATCTGCTATGGACTGAGCACAAGCCCAGGAGGGCTGTGTTAGTTGTCTGCATGGCAGATCTCTGCTTTTCATCCAGAGAATCCCACTCCAAGTGTGTGCTAGTGATTTATGTTGTTTCTAGCAAGGTCCTTGGTGTGGCAGAGAGGGCAGTCCAAGCCTGCAGCACATCCCTAACCGTGGTGGTGAGGGAGAGGTGAGATGCTCATCTTCCTCCTGAAGAGAAGGCTGATACTGCACCAAAACTGAGCTGCCAACTCTGTGCTCCCATAGGGATATCTGAAAGAACAAATCTTGAGCAAACAGCCAATAACAAAATCTGATTTTCGTTTGTTAGTCACACTGTGTACCTTGAAGGGGAGGCTGGTTTCTACTGGTGAGCAACTGGTTGTACCAGTCACGCCAGGAAAATTAAAAAACATCTTTAGTTTTGAAAAGGTGTTGGCATGGAGATGTATACTCCAGATACAGGTGTTTGCTAATGGATAACTGTCCCCTGGGTGTGCAGCCACTGATTGGAGGGGAGAGGTGCATAAAGAACCCCAGAAGCAGAGCAGGCTCCATCCTCCAAGAGCCCTGAGGCTGTGCCTGCTCAGGAGAAAGCCAAGCTCCAGAAGCAACATGTCTCAGCTGGAAACTGCAATGGGAATGACCATTGCTGTCTTTGACCAGTATGCAAGGACTGATGGCAACAGGCAAACCCTCAGCAAAGCAGAGCTAAAGAGTCTGCTGGAAAAGGAGCTCCCAAATTTCCTTGCGGTAAGAGAACAGTGCGGCACCGTTTCTGTGTAGCAGGTACAAGAGCAGCCTGCAGAAACAGTTTTTAGTACATTTTTAGGGAAATTATATCCAAAAATATGCAATGGCTTGTAGGAAAATATGAAATTTTAAAAAGATTTTGCACAAACTGTGTAAAAATGATTTTAATATGCAAGGCCATTCCCTATTTGCTAAATTCATCACTTGGGTTATTAGGACAATGGCTTTGAAATAGATTTGGTTTCAACTTCAAAATTCACTTACTTCTGTTTATCCCTGGATTTATCATCTCACTTCATGTCACAACTTCTGTAAAGGTAGTTGTGCTGTCAGCAATTGAGGATCTTGATTGCAGATGGGGAATATCTCTAAATATTTATACATTTACCTTCTCTGGGTATTTATACTGCATACTCAGTATGATCATCAAAATGATGCATAAACCAGAACAACAGATGAACTCAAAGCAAACTGTTTGGCATTTGTCTTTAACAGCAAAAGAAAGACAAGTTTTGTATTGTACAACATAGATTTGTATGTAATCATAAAATGCATTTCAGTAGGTATTCAAAGTGCTTAATATGTTTTAGTAAAAGCAGAATGAGGACCAGTGGGGATATATTCCAATGTTTCTGAGAAACCTGTGTAAGATAGATACATGCTTGTACCCAACAGCATCACAGAAGGGCCCTGCTTTTGAGCATGGAGCTGTGTGGTACCCACAGCACTTCCATGTAAAGAGAAACTAACCCAACAACAAAACCACAATTCTGTGATGGTGTGGAAATCCCCCAGACACTTGGCATTTGGTCTAAATAAGGCTGGGGAGGCACTGCAGTAGCAGCTACCAAATGGGATGATGTTCACTGGTCTGTCCTGATTGTGTTTGGTGGTCTGGCACCACTTCTTCCAGTTCCCCACAGCTGCTCATACCAGCTCTACCTATTTCCTGCACCTGGTGGAAAACCTAGAATTTTTCCAGGAAGATAATCAGCTAATTGTCATCTTATATTCTAGTCATCATATCCCTTTCCTGCTTTACCTCTTCCAGAAAAAAACAAAAACAACTCAAAACCCACACATTTTAATGCTAATATTTTAAATAAATTTAAACCAATAATATTCCTTGGTCCTGTCTTGCCAGACTGCTAACTGCAAGAAAAAAACATGAGAACATAAGTCTGACTTCAGAAAAAAGTTCTACCTGGATTTGCCTGCCATTTATATATTTATTTTTTCATTTGCTAGAAAATCTAGGGAACAGTGTTTTCTAATTACTTGTGTATACTTTTGGCCTTAGAATTGGTTATAGCTGACACAGATCAAACTTCCTGGAAAGGTCTTGAATCAATCAGGCATAAATATCACAGGACAGAAGGACTGGACTTAGTTATAAAGAATTTCCAAAAAAACAATTCCCATTTTTGCATCTCAGAAGTAATTCAGATGCTACAACTAGTTTGTATAGTTCACTAAATAATTTGAAATATTCACTTATAAAATTAAACCACTTTAATTTACGAATTTAAAATTAATTAAACTTTCCAGATACATTCATCTGTCAAATCTAAGGAAATGGTTAAATTTTTAGTGATTTTAAAACCTCTGCATTTAAAGTGAAATATTAAATTGCAGGATACCATATTTTGTTAATTAGAACATGATCAAAAAATGCCTTCAGATTTACATTTAGGTAGCAATAGTTTTATTGGTGGAAATTTTTCAAAAGTTTATATGATTTCTTTCTAGTATTAGATGAGCTTTTTTTTACCTTCTACAAAAGCCACACGGTTGTTTCTTAGCTTTAACAGGTCTGTACTGCCATCCCCTGTTTAATATTAAAATTGCAGCTCCAAAAAGCCCTATAGATTATTAGGAGCACCAAAAAGCCCTCCTGTAAGCTTCTTTTCTTTTTTTAATCTATTCTGGCAAAATGAAAAAAAAAAAAAAAACACAGAAAAAAGCCCTCACCAAAAAAAAAACCCAAAACCACAAACAAATCTGGTTTTTTTTTTTAATTAATTTTATTTTTTAAGATTTGTTTGTTTTTTAAATTTGATTACACAATTCTTAACATCAGCCTTGAAATGTAGTGGTTCACAGAGTCACAGAAGCACAGGATGTGCTGAGTTGGAAGGGACTCACACAGATCATTGAGCCCAAGCTCTGGCCCTACACAGGACACCCCGAGTCACACCGTGTGCCCCAGAGCACTGTCCAAACACTTCCTGAGCTCTGTCAGGCTGGTGCTGTGACCCCTTCCCTGGGGAGCTGTTCCAGTGCCCAGCCACCCTCTGGATGAAGAACCTGATTTTTTTCCCTGATATCCAACCTAAACCTCCCATGACACAATTTCATTCCCGGGCCGTTCCCTGGGGTCCTGTCAGTGTCACCTGAGAGAAGAGATCAGTGTCTGCCCCTTCTCTCCCCACCATGAGGAAGTTGCAGACTGCACTGAGGTCTCCCCTCAGTCTCCTTTTCCCAAGGCTGACCAGGCCCAGTGCTCCCAGCCGCTCCTGACAGCTTCCCCTGAAAACCCTTCACCATCTCCACTGCCCTCCCTTGCACACTCTCTAATTATTATCTATGTTTCCTGTATTGTGGTGACCCAAACTGCCCCCAGCACTCAAGGTGAGGCCGCCCCAGCCCAGAGCAGAGCAGAGCAGAGCAGAGCAGGACAATCCCCTCCCTTGCCTGGCCATGCTGTGCCTGCTGCCCCCAGGACAGAGCTGGCCCTCCTGGCTGCCAGGGCACTGCTGACTCTTGTTCAACTTTCTGTTGACGAGGACCCCCAGGTCCCTTTCTGTGGTGCTGTTCTCCAGCATCTCATTCCCCGCTATGTCCATACATCCAGGATTGCCCCATCCCAGGTAGAGGATTCAGAACTTTTCCTTGTTCCCTTCATATGGTTGGTGATTGCCCAGCCCTCTCATTTGTTGAGGTGTCTCCACAGGGCCTCTCTGCCTTCAACAGAGTCAGCAGCTCCTCTCAGTTTTGTATCATCTGCAATCTTGCTCTGAATCCCTTCCAGTCCCATGTCCAAATCATTTATGAAGATGTTGAAAAACACAGGGACAAGGATGTCACTGTGGACCCCTCTAGTGACAGGTCCCCAGTCTGATGTCCCCTCATCATGCGCCACCCATGAGCCAGTTGCTCAGCCATGCCATGATGTGTTTATCCAGCTGTGTGCTGGACATTTTGTCCGAAAGGATCCTGTGTGAGACAGTATTGAAAGCTTTACTGAAATCCAAGAAGAAGACATCAGCTGGCTTCCCTTGATCAACTAGGTGTGTTACTTTATCGTAAAAGGAAGTCAGGTTTGATAAGCAGGACTTTCTTCTCATGAAGTGATGCTGGCTGTGGCTGATGATGGTGTTCAGTCATTCCATCAGAATAGTGGCAACTTAGAAGAATAATGACAATTTAGAAAAAGATTTACTGTGTTAACTCAATCTCAGCATCCCACAGTCTTCAGGAGGCACCTTCCCAGCCACAAGCTCCTGCGAGCAGCTTCTGCTGGGCCATAAGGCCAGTGGCAGCACTCGAAGCACTTTTGAGGCTGTTTGCATATTTTCTGGGGTGGAAGTATTCAATGAAGCTTAAATTTTACTTTTGCCCCAGGAAAGTGTCTTTTTGCAAAACTGCAAGCTGCCTGTGCTCCAACTGAGTCTTCCTAGGGGAATGGACGGGGAACTCATAGGAGTTAATTCATCTGGGGATTGTCCTCAGGGCTTTGTGCTACACAGCTTTAATGGTGATAAATGCTGTTTTAAATGTAGCAAACATGACTGACTGTGACAGTGCACGACTGCAGCTCTCAGGTGTAATAAACCCAGGAGCACATGCTTTTGGTACTCACTGCTGCTGTGCAGACAGTGGGAACACACAGCACCTTACCAAGTGCCCAGAGCCCAACCAAGGACCTTGTCTGGAGAAGCTGCTGCACTGGGGTTGTGCATCCTCTCACCTCAACCTGCTCTTTTTCTTTTGCAGTCTGGGAAGGACAAGAATGCTATTGATAAAGTCTTCAAGAACCTGGATGAAAACGGAGATTCCCAAGTGGACTTCAAAGAATTTGTCATCTTTGTGGCAGCTCTGACTTGCTGTTGTCACAAATATTTTGAACAGAATGCAGCCAAATAGTTGTCAAACTACTCACAAAAGCTTTCTTTGCCTGTGCTCCATATGCTAGTGATATGGATCCCTTCACTCCTTCCATGTACTGCTGTGAAGTTTGCAAGCACGCTGAACTGTAAAAATAAACCCTACTGAGCTTATTTCCTATCCTGAATGCTAATTTCTTCTCATTTGTGGAACAGCCTGAGCTTAATGACTCCCACTAACTCACACTGAGTAGTTTCTCCCTTTCTCTGGTTTTAAAATTCTTTCCTTAGCCAAAAGGTTCATTATTCATACCATTGCAGAAGCTGCACAAGAATAAGGGCTGCTGAAGCCATGAATCAGTTGGAGGCTGTTTTTATACACCAGCATCTCTGGGATGCTCCCAAATCCACACGTGTGCCACCACAGCTGTACAGGACAGGCCTCACTGGCACTGCCTTTGAGCCTATTTGGTACCCTCAGCCATGTAGTTTTTGCAGGGCTGCCTTGTAGGTTCTTCCTTGGTTAAAACAACAAAACAATCCCAAACACCTTTTCTGTTTTTTTCCAGCATGGACAATTCTGTGCAGTTTTGTGTGCTAGTGAGCCATCTCACCCAGATCACATAGGTTTATTTTCTATGACATCATAAGACTTTTGTACCAATATATTGATATTGCTTTAAAATAAATATAAATACACTCCCAAATAGTGCCATACTATTTTTGCCTGAAGCAAAAATGCAGCAATTGTTGCTTCCTTACCTGAAAAATGTCTGTGTGGGGAAGTGGAAGAAATTGCTTTCAGAGGAGCAGGCAACAGACATCAGCTATTTGCAACTGAAGCAAGACTGTTTACAGAATTAAATCTACGTTTTGAAGCACTTTGCCAGCATGTCCCAACACAAATTGCAAAAACATTAAATTTAGTTCCTTTTTCTACAGAACAGTACTGTTCAATGGTATGCTATGCTAGCAGCCAAGGGAAATACCCTGTCCTACTGCATGTGCAAATGTGTTGTGTAGGTAGAGGTGTCACAAGTCCCTCTGGAGCCCCTGAAAGATCGTGCAGCACAGCAAAAGCAGGAACAGGAGCTCAGTTTCACTGTGTTTCCTGAATCTGAAATTACATCACAGGTTTGACCCATTCATAACCCTGTACAAATATACCTTGTTTAGGTGTATTCATCTTTTGGGGAGCTCGATGAGAAATGTTGGTCTTATTAGTTTGTTTCAGCCTGTTTTAACCATTACAGGTTTTGTTTCATCTAGCTTGCTCTGGGGCTGGATGGCTGGAGATGAATTGCAACACATCCATTACACTTGCAGAAGTACCATTACCTGTGTTACTGACAACAGTAATATTTTTCTGCATTACCTGAGCAAGAAAACCATTCATCACCAGAATGTGCAAAAGTCTTCCCAATCCAGAGATCCCAAATTGGCCTTTTCTTCAGAGACTGCTCCATATTATTTGCCATTTTTTGAGATGTCTTTACAGCTCTAATCCAGGCTGGTTCTGCCCTGTGACTGCTGTGCCACTTGCAAGGGCCAATTCCACTATCACATGCCTCATCATTTTGTCAAGGTAAAAACGAGCAAAATATTCTGCTTGTTGCAAAGAAAGCTAATTCTAAATACAGAGTCAAAATTTCCTATATTGCACATTTATCTAGCAAGTGGTATAAACCATCCTCAGACAATCAAATCTTGGTGATGCATATCACAAATTTATCGGTATATCCTAATTTTTTTTAAATGTATTTTTACTTTAAACTCCAGCCTCACTGAATTTTTTTGTTTTTTACCACTATGTGGCACTAAATGAAGACTTTTTATTGCTCATTGAGCCCAAAAGTGCATGTATCAATATAGAGTTAAAAGAATCCATGTTAAAATTAGAAAAAATAAATCAGAAGTGTTCATAACATGTCAATAAAATGGCAATTTTATGTCTGGACAAACACCATATGTCTCATAAAGGGCATTTACTGATTGCAGTGGAAGCAGCAGGAGCTAAGGGCCAGGCAGAGGCTCCATCTCTTGAGCTTTTGGAAGGATTTAGCTGCACCATCCCAATCTCATCCTTGTGGAAGTGTTTCCTCTTACTTGTAAATTGCAAACCTCCTGTGCAATTTATTGCAGCATTGTTCTCCACAGCACTGAAATTGCATTGTTCTTCATAGCACTGAAATTGCTTTTAAAACGTAGCTTTTAAAGAGAATGTTGGTGAAAAGCTCTACCTGTCTTATGAGCTAGGGAACTCACCTTGTTACTCCATTTTATCAATCAGATCTTTAAAACCACATTATTGACCAGTGAGAGCAGTGACATACCCCACATTTCACTCTTGTTTCATAAACTTCCTGCCCTCAGTCCAATACCCACACCACTTCACTCATCCATTAATGCCATTTTGTCCATTTTCCTGAAAATCTGTAGGTTTTTTCAGTGCTGGAGGACTGCTCACAGCAGTCCTGGTCGCAGCAACCCGAAGCTGCTTGGTAACTGCTCCACCTCCCCAGAGGGGCTCTGACTGACCATGATGAGCTCAAGTACCTTTGTCTTCTTGAGGGAGGAGCAGGGCTGCCCCTCACTGTTCTCATTGTTCCTGCAGCCCCAAGCCTCAAAACTCTTACATTTGTCTTGACCTCTTGGTCCCACATGAAGGGACACCTGGAGAGCTCAAAGCCCCTGCCCAGAAGCACATGGATGCTGTGTGCTGCTTTGTTAGCCCAAGGGATGCTCTGCCTGTTCAGAGCTGCATGAAGAGGGGGAAGGAAAGGGGTTCGGGGCTTTTTTTCTTTTTCCCTACAGGTTTTTCAAAAGCTGTAACTCTGTGATGAATATTCATTTCAATGTAGTACTGAAAACTCAACTTGATGACAACTCAGAGAGAAAATGATCCAGGAATAAAAGAAATTAACATATAGCTCCCACCTTACCATAGAACAAAAGTGACTTTTCAGAATATATTATTTAACCTAAAAGCATCTGAACAGAGTCACTTCAGTATCTTTCAATCCATTAATTTTCTTTCCCAGTATTATTGATTTTCACTATGAACCTACAGTTTACACAGAATATACTGAGTATTTCCTTCCCTCAGTAAACTTTTGTAACTCAAAGTTCAAGCTACAGAGATGGTAGACCTGATTTTAAACCTTCAATTTAATTTCAACTTTTAGGTCTCAACATCTTATGTACGATGAGATAATTTAAGAAACTGTATAGGCAGCTGTAGGGGAAAGGAAAAGAACATAAAAGGCAACTTGGAATATATAAACTAACAGCTGTGGCTTGTGCACATTTGACCTAGCTATCTGAAAGGAAAAAATAGATGGGAAAATATATTTCCAGCAAATGATAATATGGGAAATCATCATTTGTGATGAGTTCCAAATTAAGCAAGTCTTAAAGGCAGAGGTAAGAAAGTCAGCTAAGCAGCAAATCAGCCAATAGATATTTTTGTAATACAGAAAAAAATATAAATTTATATTAACATCAGATCAATTCTATGGATTAAAATATTCCAGTACCTGTAGTTGCCATTTTGAAATCTAGTGGGCTACTGTCAACACTCTTCAATTTTTCAAATGACATCTTGAAATCTGATATTTGAGTGTGCATACAAGAGAAAACAGGCATAATGTTACCTAACCCTTAAGTCACTTGTGGCCACTGATGCTGCCATTTTGGCTGGGAATATTCCTCCTTCTTTTCCCTTAAAGTTCAAGGAAGAATTAAAAAAAAAAAAAAACTCATCCAGTTAAGTACGCTGTTTATCTCCCCAGCTATCCCAGTTTGGGACTGAAAGCAGGAAGATTTCTTTCCCCAAATCCTCTGAGCATCCTACACTAGCATTGTGCACTTTCAACACTTGACCTGGAGTGTCAAGATCAAGCTTTTCACAAAATACATTTTAGCTGCTGGTTTCCTTACAGAAGGTGGGCAGGGGAGGAGGAGGAGATATTACCTGTCTTTTATGTAACAGCCTCACTGTAAAATGCTCCTGTAAGAGCTGGGAAATTGTGTTCAAACCTTTCCTTGAGTGAAACCCACCCACACCAGCTGCGTGCACCGAATAGCAGGAAACCCAGGGCACCTGACAGTGACTCCCTCCATCGTGGCAGGTGCTCGTGGGGCTGAGGAGGCCTGGGAAAGGCTGCATGAGAAGCAGCACATCTCTCTGGTAGATGGAGTACATAGCCATTCCTGCAGGTGTCTGTGTCCCAGAGACATCGTAAGAGTGTATTCTGTATTTTAGTCATTTAATACAGACTCTTGAATGCAAAACACAGACCTGGCATAGTTGAAAAGATGTTTCTTGCCAGGTGAGTTCCCAAGGCATTGAACAGTAGGAGCAGGAACTGCTCTGGTCCTCTCTCTCGGACAATGTTCTCTGCAACAGGTTGAAAAGGTGACAGCAGAGGATGACAGGGAGCATCTCCTCCATCATTTTCTTCTCCTTCTCCTCCTCCTCCTCCTTCTTACCGTCATCTTCTTCTCTGAGGGAGTGTCTCCTCCTCCTGCCCTGTGGAACAGCAGGTGATGCTCAGCCCACCACCAGCAGAGAGAAAGTCCTGCTGGTACCTCTCCCCTGCCTTACATCTCCCTGCCTTAACCTTAACCACTTCCTGCTTCACAGCCCTCAGAGAAGCTTTTAAATAAAAATTAAAAGCTGACTCCAGCTCAGGCACCTGGAGGGAATGATTGAGGTCTCTATTTTGCTAAAAAAGGTTCATGACTGCAGCCCAGGAGAGCTTGCCTGGCCTCCTCTGGGCCGTGCCCTACTGCCTGTGCCATAAAGCTCCCCAGCAGAGCTCATGCTTTTGGGTCCCTTGCTGAGGTACTTCTCCCACATGCTGGGAGCAGAGCCTTGGGGCTTAACACAGGTTTCTGCAGTCTGCTCAGATCCACCCACCTAGAAATTAGTCATTCCAGCAGCTAATTGACTATGCTTTTCTACTGCTTTTACAGGCCATTTTCTTCCCCAGAAAAATTCCTTTCTTTTTTCTTCCTAGTCAATAATTTTTTCTTAATCCTGTATCAGCCTCTAAACCTGTGGGTCACAGCTCCATTCTGGAAGCTGTTCATTGCATGAAAGGAGAGAAAATTCCATTTTTTAAAGAATACAGCTCTGCTACTCTCCAGCAGGTGATCAGTAGGTGCATACA